ACGGTTATATTGTAAGGATATACAGCGCAGTAATGATAATGTGAGACCAGATGTCTTTAACCCTTTGGACAGCCATTATACTCTATCTACTCGCAGCGCTGCTATAGAGTAATACGCAATATCTAACGGGGCTGCTCTTCTGTTGTCTGAGGACGTCAAAGCATTATTCTTCCTTTGCCAGAGATCTACGATCCACTCGACCGGCATAAGAGCATGTTGAGAGAAAGAAGCCTCCCATGCCGTTCCTTCACGGGGACTGGGCATTGTCGCTTTGGAGCAGCTTGCCGCTTTTCCCATGAGCCCTACCTTCGCCAGCGACCTCGGGTGGCAGAGACGACGCCATGCTTTCGATGGGAAGAGTCGGGATCGTGCCGGTATGGGCAGCGATGCGTGTACTTACATCGAGAGCTCCCGACCCGTATGGCCATTGACGACGGCTTATGTCACTTATGTGCGAAGATAGATATACTTCAAAGGGTCGTATCCGAAGACAACGAACCTGCAGGAGGCGCGGTTCTGTCGGAGGTCCATGAGCTTGGAGGCTACAGCTGGTTGCAAGCGCGCCAACCGACCATAGCGTTTCCTGGTAGGTTCGATAGATGCACTTGAGAGTGATCCTCACGCTGGCTAGCAGGAAGGCACAATACCTCGTCTCTGTGTGCCCGGTCTACCAGTGGACCTTCCTCCCGACTTGAACCCATTCAAGGATGATCCGACGGACGAGAGATCAGCTCAAGTATACACTTTTCGCTTTGAGCCTCTGCTTCTGACATGCGCAATTACAACACCTTCATTCGTTCTCCCTCGCCCAGTCTTGACATCCGCCGTTCAAGCGTTACCCCTCACGCATATTCCATAGCAAGGGCGCCTTGCCCAGAGAGTGTTACTTCGCCATAGAATATGGTATGTACAGCCTCTGTATGCGTTTCCCGGACTCTTATAGCGTGCAGAAGCCGTTTTGAGATGGCAAATTGACGGTAGCATGTGACGGCCAATTCAGTGCGGTTGAATGGCGAAAGTAGCATTCCTGTGTGGCCATTCTGGAGTCTGCTGACCAGGCAGCACGTGACTAGGGAACTTGGGCTGCGGCATCTCAAAACCCATGCAGCCAAGGGTGCTCAAGCAGAGCTCTTGCAGTCATCCTGTCTTCTGGAAGCCAGCGTAGCATACAAGATAGAAAGTCCAGGATCGGCGCTCTGCTTTGCGCTGGGCAATGTTTCATCCTGCTTGCCAGAGACGAAGGAGTGACTGGTGGCTCTGTTCTCAATTGCCCTGCATCGTCGATGTCAGCAACAGTACCACTTCTCTATTCAGGCAGCAAACCAATACCGAATTCATCGAAGAGTCGCCACGTTTGCGGACTGCGCCGCAAGAATTCAAACGGCGGAACGCTGAGTAGACTGACAATCTCATGCATGTGAAGACGGTTATTGTGTTGGCCCTCCTCATCAGTGCCGTCGAGCAGATGGTCCACTTCGAGCATGTTCCACAGCTGATTGCCACATTAGCACATGAGACCAAAGAGATAGAATTCTGCCGAAACTTGCCACACAGCCCACGTTCCAGATGTCTATAGCACAGTCGTAGTGCTCAAACTGCATAAGTATTTCAGGTGCCCTGTATACTTCGGGTTGGATGTTCGCCCAAGGGTGTGACGATCCTATACGGGCTTCTCCAAAGTCGCACAGCACAGGAAGACCGTATGCGTGCGCGCGCGGCTGTCGGAATCGTCGAGAGGAGTAAATAGATCGCTCTTCGTTGATGACTTTACGTTCGCTAGGTGACTCCTTCTCTGCCTCTTCGTAGTCTGGAAAAATGCTTTCGTCTTCGACCTGGAACATGAGGTTCGAGAGTTTAATGTCTAGGAGCAGAAACATAAGCTGTGTCGCTTACACAGCCCGAAAAAGACCTCATACCGCAGTGTGTGACGCCAATCTCGGTGTGAAGGAAATCGAGGGCCTCGAGCAAGCTTCTTATACACACTTTCGCGACCTCCTCAGGCAGTGGTGCCGGTCGATCACCTAACCTCTGGAAGGCGAATAGCGTGGTCTGTAGCGGTGGATGGATCAGGCACACATGCACATCGCCGTTCTTGCGGACAAGCTCGAAGATGTCGAGAACCGGTCGGACACATAATGCACCTGGATGTGTCGTAGTCGTCTTGTCACATTGTTCGTATAGGAGCTTCTCACGATTTGTCCCTCCTGGAGGCGTACGAGTGTATACCTTCGTGGCGACATACTGTGCCGTGCTATAGGGCAGTATCAGTTGCAATAGATGCGGAAAGGCATGTTGTTCCCCTTACTTGAGATCTCTGCAGAACCATACGGTCGAATTCGCACCGTAGCCAAGCTTGCCGATCACATTATAACGCGAGTCGAGCGTCTGCCCAATGCGAACCGGATAGAACTCTTCGGGGTCATATTGTGGGAGCGTTTCTTCCTCGATGTGTCGATCTGAGCCGATCTGAGGTGCTAAAGAACTCATTTGGTGCTTCCAGAGTGACGGCTGAAGGCGAGGAGTGGCTTGGGATGGTGATATGTTCCAGGCATTGCTCGGGGTGGTCGGCAGCCTTGCGCAAGTCGCGAAGAGATTCTTCAAACAGACAGGTAGGTAGCGTGCTGGTGCTTTCATGGTGCTGCAGATGTGATGGTGTGCAGGAGGTCTGCACAATCGGTGATGGGGCATGAGCGCGCGCGTGCCCACGCTGACTCATGATACGCCTTGGCATATAACAGCACAAGCCAATAGGGCTCTCACGCGATCTTCCGTCACTTCCGGTCCGTTCCGGATGCTCTGGAGCTGTTCGAACACGCCACCCTGCAGGCGCCACCACTTAACGCACTTCCTTCTAATAATACAGAACACACCCTCGAGCAACTTCCCATGTGCCGCGGCTTATGGCGCATCCATGTCCGCTGTCTTAGCGATGGACAAAACAGAAGCAGCGCTTGCACGCTGGCGCTTGCGCATGTATGTGCTGGTGGACCGTAAGAGACTTCTACTTGGACGTGGAACGATCCAGGTTTGTGACGTTCAGCTCTCATCGGCTCCATACAAACAACAGCCAGTTCATCCAAGCCATGGTTTCTAAGACGGCAAGCAAACTGATCGGTTATGTCGGTAAGGTCAAGCCTACACAAATCTCCAGCGCAACGTGGAGAAGTAGCGTGGAGAAGTTTTGTGAGGAATTTGAAAAACAGGCAAGCCTCGTCCGTTATGCAGGCACATATATACGTACTGATGAGCATTAGAACACGGACAAAAACGTCAAGGACGCTGAGCTAAGGTTTGTTACGCTACAGTTAATGAGAGCGACCACACCTAATTTCTTGTCTTGATGCAGAGGGTCCAAGCCGCACAAATCGAACGACGATCCGAGTGATCCAAACGATGTCATCTCCGTGCGCTTCATTGACGGCAATGGCAAGCGGGTGGCATCCGCGCACGTGTATCAAGATGGGAATGGAAAGGTGGTACGATGGTAAAACACTTATACAGTAGACTTAGTGCTCCATGTATGAACACGCGATGTTGGTAGCGTGTGAGCGACAGTCTCCAGAGACATTGACTTCTGCATCGTTGTTTACAAATCTCCTACATCGCTCCTCTTTGGTGACCATTCATTGCCAATTTGGCCCGCTCAGAGTCGGGCGTATACAGCACGTTTTGCGCAAGGGCGAGATCCTGTCCTCGCCAAAGTCGGACGCAAGACTCTTCGCTCCAGCAGATCCGGCCGTCGGCGTCGTATCGTCGTCCAGCATGTTATCCTGCTAACTTCCCGGCTTTGTCGAGGTTGGCACCATCGTATGTGCTCTGCGGCCTGATTCTCGTCAAGCGAGACAGTCGTACTGGACGTACCCTCTTTTCTGCTTACTAGCCGTTGAGCATGATATGGTGCTTATTACCACACTCAGTGATACGGCCGCCTTAAGAATAGTAGACCGGAGCAAGATGTTTAGCGTCCACCCGATGGACGAGGAGCACGCACATGCCTTGCTGGAGAAGAAGCTCGGGCAGCAGGCGGACAGAACAGATCTGTCGCGCTAGCGGTCGCGCTAGAGTACATGCCGCTCGCCATTGCACAGGCGGCGGCTTACATCCAGAAAGCAATGCCAGGTACCGTGGTATGCTTCTTATGCACAGTTCCAAGGCACGTTTCCAGGCCTCATACTCAGTGATAGGTCAGTGTTTAGGACAGGCTTGGCTTACGAAGTAAATGTCCTGTGATTTGAGTGGGCTGAGACTCCCTCAGCAACTATTAGTGCATACTAAACATACCCAAGGACATGATTCCCCGCCGATACGGAAATCGAGCTACCCACTCTCATAGCGCGTGAAGTTGCAGTTCTGACCACATCATACATGCTCTTATGTTCTCCGTAGACATTGAGACATGCTTCCATCCGCTTGATACGGCGAGAATACTTCTCTTGCAGTACGAAGCAGGATAGCCTCAGCCTCGACAGCCAGTACTCCTTGAAATAGTGCACGTGCTCCCCTGCGCTTTGGTCTACTTGGCTGCGTTCAGGCTCATGTCAGGTCCGGTGCCTCTATTGCTATGCAAACATTCTTCGTTCGGCCTCTGCCTTACGGGCCGGCATGATCCTTGTCGTCTTCGCTCTGTGATGCGTGAGGAACCCATAAAATGCCGTCGTAAGGAATGATTCATTTGTGGGCGTTTCGACGTTCTCGCGAGTTTCTGCATCATGGCCGAGTTCGCGGTCGGAATCGGGTTCCGTGACAGGCCACTGGAAGTCTGGCGATGCAGCAACAGCCCCTACTGCGGCTACATTGGGAGCGTGTTCAGAATCCTTGTATTTCTGCGCCAGAGAAGCCAACTTTGTTCTACAGACCCCTTTCGTTGAGGTCAGTATGCAGCTAATTGCACGATGTGTAC